GAGAAAATAATTTATGTATCATATAGACTATGGATGTTCTCAATTAAAAATAATAGTATAGGGACCAGCAGGTAGCATGGTGGTTAAGACTCTGGACTCCCATATGACTGACCTCCATTCCAGTACCAGAACTGTTGGCTTGAAAAATCACATTGGGCACATGTGTGTGTGTGTGTGTGTGTGTGTATACGTGCCCCAGATCCCAGGAGGAGAACAGAGAAGGGATTGAAGTATGGCCATGCCACCCCCCAAGGGTTGATTTCTCACTTTCCCTCTCTCTGTCTCCCTGTCTTTCTCTAGTGAGGGCTCATAGCCTATGACAAAAGCTTAAATACAAATAAACAAACAAAAAGCCTGTAAATGTTTGTATTTTTAAAAAACAGTGAGAAGCAAGGTGATACATGAAAATTTGCAATGGCAGGCACAGGTCGTGGGCCATAGGGTCAGCACACCAAAGGGGCCCTCTAGCTGATTTAAGCTACTCACAGGGGCATTGGAGTCCCTGCCATCATGGCCAGTTAGTCACAAGGGATTCAGCAGTTGCCAAGAAGCAGATTTCAAGAAGGTGTCTGAGGCCAGCAAGCAAAAGAACCGGAGCTCGACACAGGCCAAAACTGAACCAGTATTGCCCTCAGAAGGAGAAAGAACTCAAGACCAAGGAAGTCGCACCTCTGGAATCCCATGGTAATTGCACTGCTAAAGTGGAGGAGACTCAGGAGCAGATGACCATCCTCCAGACCTACTTCTGACAGGACAGGGAAAAAGTCTTGGATCACCCACCTTTGTGACATCCAGCCAGGAATGCATGAAAACTACCACATAAAAGGATAGGAGAAGAACAAAATGCCTGTCCTATGGATTGGTGTTTTATATGCCCTAGTGGAATATGAAGCTTTAGCAGATCTCCAGTTATAGTCTTGCAAAGGCATTACATTATTTATTATACAGCAAATCCCATCACTTTTTTCAGAGTGAAAATCTAGCTTCTTGTACAAAGTTACAACTTATCCAAAGATTTCATCTTTTTACCTTGAGTTTTTTAGAAGTTTAATGGGTGGGGCCAGCAGATGGCATGGTGGTTAAGGGCACTGGACTCCCACATGGCTGACTGGTTCCAGTCCCAGACCTTGTGGCTTGCTTTCTCACTTTTCCTTTCTTTTTCTCTCTCTTTCTGTCTCTCACTTTGTCCATCTCTGGTCAAATTTAAATAAATAAAATTTAAAAAGTTAAATAAAATAGCTCTTAAGAAAATTAATTAATTGGTGTACATTTTCTTATACCTTTAGCTCAAGCAACACATATATCAATGTTAATTTTTTCTTCCTTATCTCTAGTGAAAAAAAGAAATTCTTTCAAGAAAGAAAGGGATTAAATCATCTTTTCCCCCTAATACTTTCTTAAAGGTCAGAGGCTTTATCTATGAAAAAGTAGTAAATAGTTACTTGTAACCTGTGTGAAGCTGCAGCCAGCCTACCCACCTGCAGAAAGATTAAATTGGATCCCTATCTCTCACTACTAACAAAAATCAACTCAAAATGGATCAAAAATTTAAAACTAAGATATCAAAAAATCAAACTATAAAACTCAAAACTTCTGGTGGAAAACACAGTGGAAACTCTTGGAGACATCAGAGTAGGCAAAAACTTCTTAAATAAGAGTCCCAAAGCACAGGCTATAATCCCCCAAATAGACAAAATAGACAAATAGGATTACATCAAGCTTAAAAAGTTTCTGCACAGCAAAAGAAACAATAATTAGAGTGAATCGACACCCCTTGGAATGGGAGAATATATTTGCAAATTATGCCTCATATAAGGGACTAATAACCAGAATATACAGGGAACTCAAGCAACTTAAGACAATAAAAAAACAAAAACCCAATTTAAAGATAGGCAAATGAGGTGAGTAGACAACTCTACAAGGAAGACTTATGAACAGCCAAAAAGCATATGAAAAAATGTTCAATATCATTTATCGTAAGGGAGATGCAAATCAAAACCACAATGAGTTACCATCCAACCCCAGTCAGAATGACTAAGATTAAAAAAATAAAGAATGATATGTGCTGGTGAGACTGTGGTGAAGAGATCTTTCCTACGCTATTGGTGGGATGTGAATTAGTACAGCCACTGTGAGAACAATATGGAGGTTCTTCAAAGGCCTGCAAATTACCATATGATCCAGCAATTACACTTTGTTGGATCTACCCAAAGGATAGGAATGTACTCAGTCAGAAAAAACTTGCACATCCATGTTTATTGCAGCTTTAGTCACAATTGCTAAACCATAGAACCAACCCAAATGTCCATGAACAGATGAATGGATTGAAAAAGTATGGCACATGTACACTACAGAATACTACCCAGCCTTAAAAAACAATGAGATTCTGGTATCTGATAGAAAGTGGACAAATATGAATAATTTACTGCTAAGTGAAGCAAGTCAGACTGAAAGAAAGGCCTTGCATACACTCAATATATACTAACTATCAGCACTCCATGGTAGAAGTTGAGAGATTGGAGGTAATAAAGGCATGGAGAGGGATGAGCAGTTAGCGTAATGGCTACGTCACTGAACTCCCATATAGTCGACTATGGTTCGAGTCCTGGACCCGGTGGCTTAAACTCACACTGGACGAATGTGTGTGTATGTCCAAGATCCAGAGAGGAGTAGAGAGGAGAGGAGACTGCTGCATGGCCATCCGCCCTGGGGGGTGATTTCTCACTTTCTGTCTCTCTGTCTTTCTCTTTCTGGCGAGCGCACGTGCCCTATAGCAAAAACCTCTCTGAAAAAAGAAAAAGAAAAATAAAGGCATGGAGAGCACCTGCGGATACTAGAGACATTGTGGGAGGAGGGTTGGAAATGGGGGAGGGCTAGAGGGAGGGAATCAAGGGGGAAAAAGAAGCAAATCATTTAAGGAATGCAAAAATAGAAAATTATCTGTTGATAATGTGTTTGGTAATATCTTTGACTGGACTAATGTACAGTGTATTCATGATGGGAAATTTCATTTGGTATGCTATAATGATATACAGTGATTGAGTGTAAAAAAAAATAGATAAATAAATGGAAAAGAAATAGTCCATTCCAGCTAAGGGTTAGAATAATGACTACTAGTATAATCATTTGGGCTGTTTTTAGTTTATTTTAATTAAAATAGATGAAAATTCTAGATGATAGAATTTTCCATTTTATTACTCGGTATACTGCTAATTGTTTAAAAATAAAAGACTCTTTGTCATGAAAAAAATTTACACTAGTTTTGGAGTAGATAGACAAAAATCCATTTTGCCTCCACTAATTATTATTAAATAAGACTTTATTATAGGTAACTTGTCAGAGTCAGTTTATTCATCTATAAAATGGGGATGATGAAACATAAACTGAATGATATCAAAATTAGAGATTACTGAAAAATTTCTAGTTTAATAAATATTTGTTATTACCATTATTCTCCAACATATAGTATATAGTATAGTATATAAAGAATCAGTAAAGCAAAAAGTATTAATTTGTGAGGAGAGAACAATACATATGACAAAAATTGGAAACTGCGAGTGACAAATCTACAACACTTCTATGCCAACAGGGTCTTAAGGATTTAGGCACTACCATTTATTTAAAATCACAAATTCTGAGGAGAGTGAATTGTTTTCCCAACTTTGTTGACTGACTAATACTGTATGCACATTTAACTAAAACGACTTATTAAACAATACCCTTAATATGTGGTGTGTGATGCATGCTATTTCCTTTTCTGCTCTATTTATTAAGTTGTTGGAAAAATCATCATGTATTTTTTCTATGTTTTTCTGTGCAAAAATGCATCATGACTTTTCCGACAACTGAATATTTTTATATTGCTATTGTAATTTGGTAAATCAATCCACTAATCAATTGTATTCAGCAGTTTGAAAACACTCAGCTCTAAAAGACATCTTACATGTTTTAAGAGAGAAGTATTTTAGCTTCCTACATGGTTGGCTCTGCTGTTAGAGTCCTAGGCCCAGCAGCTTGAAAACTATACCAAGTGCATGTTCATATGTCTGCAAAATCCCAAGAGGAGAATGGAAGAGGGATTGTGGTGTGGCCATACCCCCGAGGGGGGGTGGTGATTTTCCACTTTCCCCCCTCTCTTTGTGTGTATCTCTCTCCAGTGAGCCTACATACTCTATGGCAAACAAATGGACTTTTTTTTTTTAAGAGAGATTTTTGCTATAGCGCATGTGCAGTCACCAGAGAGACAGAGAGAAACAGAGAGACAGCAAGCAAGAAATCACCCCCCCGGGGGGATGGCCGCACCACAATCCCTTCTCCTCTATTCTCCTTTTGGGGTTTTCAGCACACACACACACACTCACCCTTTGTGATTTTTAAACCACCGGGTTGGAGGCTTGAACCCCAGACAACTATGTGGGACTTCAGTGACATAACTGTTACACCATCTGCTGGTCCTAGCAAAAAATATTTTTAAAAGAGAGAGAGAGAGAGAGAGCGCGCGAGAGAGAACCAGTAGAAAAGTAAAGAGGAAACGGGTAAGAATGATCGGAACCAACTTTTTCAAAACTCTTGTATTAGCCTGAGAAGCCTCTGTACTCAAACTTGAGTTCTTGTAAACAAATCACAATCTCACTTGGGAAAACAAACCACAGCCTCACTGGGGAGTCTGCTTTGCTACCAAATTGGTGAGTCATAGCTAATCACAGCAGACAAGCTTCGGTCAATCACAGACAGCCCACCATATAAACTGTGTTTATGCAGGCAAATACCAAGTTGTAACCAAACCAGCTGCTTCTGTACCTCATCTCCCCCACTTTAGTTTCTTATATCACTTCCTTCTCATGCCCATAAAAGTTATTGGACCATGTGGCATTTTGGAGTTTCTCAGAAGCCATTCTGAGGGCTGCCTGATTTGCAAACCGTTCTCCCTATGTGGTATATGTTTTTTGTTATAAACAATAGCGACTGAAAAATCATGATTAGTACTTATTTTATTTCAGGGGAAGATATAATCCAGTTAATCAGAAGACGGTGAATGCCAAGCGAGTACCAGTGAAAAAGATGACAAGATCAAACCATCTTCCAAAACTCAATCCATGATTCAAGAACTGAATGGATTTCTATTTTTTCCTTTTTTTTTTCCTCATCTGTAATAACCAGCTTGTTGAAATTAATGTTCAACACATTTTTCAGGGGGATGGAAAAGATAAGAAAGCTGCCAAACTTCCTTATCTCTTCTTCTAGAAGTTTACTTTTTTTGTCTTTGTGAAAGTAATTTTTTCTAGTGACCTTAAAATATCTAATGTAAGTGCTTGTGATTTAAAAAAATTTCCTAGGAAAGCTGAAGGTTTGCATCATTAACTTGCTTTTAAAGATATATCTATGATTTGCTCTTATAATAACATTGCTATTGTATTTGGTTTCTAGGTGGATGTTAAACATGTGAGTTCATAAAAGCTGTTTGCTGTTTCTAGCTATATCATACTCAATTTTCCTAACCCAAGGTTTAAACAAAGTTGCAAATCAAATTCATTTCAAATTTTGGCTTGAAATATGGCATTGTGGAAACAACCTTTATTCCTGAATCAGCTTATTTATAGTCCCCACTCTTCCATGAACTTAGAAGTTCTCAGGTAAATCCGTCCACCTTGTCTTTATTTCCTAAGCCTATAAGATGACAGAGGCAAAGTCTGATTTCTACCATTTTGGAAAACTAATATTTAATCACAAGGTCCTGCCTCTAGCACGATTCAAGAACTGGTGATGAACATTCAAGAACATTTTTGATGTATATTATTATAATTCATGGTGATAGCCTAGTCTTTGGACCAAATTTTGCAAGAGTTCCTAATACCCAAGTCTGGCAGTAGATAGGATGAGGATAAGAGAAAGGGCTCTTTTGAGGATTTGTAAAATTTATTCAACGTTTCTATTCATGTGTAAACTTTTCATCATTTAAATGGTTTTGGTAACTCTTGCTTAGGTCTGGAACGTGTGTGTGTACATATATTTGAGTCATTGGAAAAGTCATTATGTATTTTTTTATGCAGAAATGCATATGACTTTTCCAATGACTATATATATATTGTCTCTCTCTCTCTCTCTCTCTATATATATATATATATGTATATATATATATACTTGTATATATATTATTTGTTCACTTAATAAATAAAAGTATTGGATTTTAAATTTCCAAAAATCAGAGGTAGAGTTTGCAGCTAATGGTATTCTCACCTTATATCTGGTACTAAGCCTAAATTCTGTTTAGTGTCACCAGTAATAAATACCAAATACATTCCTATAACTAGCTCCCCATAGACATTTACTTTTATTACTTCAGAAAGAGTACATAAATTTCATGTAGTCAAAACAGTCTTTTATGGGTTAAACGTAATGTAGAGCAATGTAAAGTTAATTCCTTTAAATTATTGTACATTTAAACTAGAAATACTTTCCTCTGTTCTTAAGGTAACTACAGATACCAGGTACTATGACCCACATTACCAGACAAATATTAGAACTAATGGAAATAATTTAAATATTAGAACTTGATGGAAATAAGCAATGTTTCTGTTATAAACAAGTAAGCTATTGTAGAGACTGGACTGAGGAACATTTAAAGTTATTTCAATCACTGGGGTGATATTGTAGCTGAATATTAGTCAGAGACTCTATCACATTTAAGTGTTAGTTCTGCAGTAGCTATTTTGGGATATTTTCTAGATATCAGAAAATGTCTGTATCAGAGTAATTAAATGTTGGTGGGTTACTATAAGAACTGAAATAGGAACTTTAACATCTGTCTTCTAATACCAGTTTGGCACTTGTAAGTGTCTGACTTTAAGTAAACTACTTTTCATTGCCTCAGTTTTTTTGTAGGTTGGAAATATTTACCATAACTTCTGCCTTAGGGTTACTGTGTAGATCAGGTTTACTTGCTACATATTCATTTGCTTATTTCTTTATATACTATTTCCCTCTAAAAAGGATGTGAGTTAGCTTTTACTAAATATAAAGGTATAAAACAACATCCCAAGATAAAAGATGAAAATAAAAGTTAAAGTTTTATTTTAAAAGTTAGAGTTAAATTCCCAACTAAGAAAAGCTCTAGCTTTTTCTTGCAGACAGTTCAAAGAAGGAATAAGTAATACAGCTCTTATTTTTTGTACAGGGGATATATAAGTAGAGAAAAAATTTCATCTATCAATAGCTCTAAGTTCTGAAAATAATTTGTCATGTGATATTTTATAAGAAAATGCAGTAAGTTATTGTAATACCAGAGTAAAAATGTCAGTTTGGGGTAGTTATTGTATATGATACTCAAATACAAGGGGACTTCAAAACCTTCATGGAAAAACAGAATTAAAAGGGCCAGTAAATGGTGTGGTGTGGTGTGTGATTAAGGCACTAGACGACCACATGGCTGATTGTGGTTCAAGTCCCAGACATTGCGGCTTGAAAATCATGCTGGGCACCTATGTATGCATGCCCAAAATCCTGAGAGGAGAATGGGGGAGAAGGGACTGTGTTGTGGCCATAACACCTGAGGGGTGATTTCTCATTTCTCTCTCTCTCTGGCAAGCACATGTGCCCTGTGGCCAAAACCTAAAAAACAAACAAACAATAAGCAATTAAAGAATGAGTTTATTTTGGTACAAAAAAAATTTTAAATCCATGAATAATTTTTTCATAATACACATTTTTCCATGAACTTTTTGAAGACCCCCTTTTATGTATTTGTATTGTAAAGTTCAGCATTCATAAAGCAAAAAAAAAAAATCATTGAAACAGTGTATTTCAAAACTTAAAATATCTAAAGATATTATAAAATATCCATAAACCATTTATAAGGCCAAATATTACTCTAATAAAAAAGACATAGTAATGAGTGTTGATGAAGGTGTGGAGAAATCAAAACCCTCATACATTGCCGAGAAACTGACAGTTCCTCTAACGGTTAAATATAAAGTTACTTTACTTGTACATCGCCCAGCAGTTTCTCTCCTATGTATTTACCCAAAAGAAATGGAAATATATCCTACATATAAATGTGTACACCTGAATGTTTGTAGTAGCATTATTTGTAATAGTCAAAAAGTGGAAATAACTCCAATGCTCACCAACTGATGAGCAGCTAAACAAAATGTTATATATCTAAACAATGGGTATTATTTGGCAATAAAAAGAAATGAAGTACTGATAGATGCTACAACATGCATTAACTTTGAAAATATTATCCTCAGTGAAAGAATTAAGTCACAGAGGACAACATATATAATTTTATTTGTTTGAAATGTCCAGAATAGACAAATCCATAGAAACATAAAGTAGATTAATAGTTGCCTAGGCTGGCAGTGGGAGGAGGGTCAACTATCAGTGATATGGAGCGACTGCTAGTGGGTAGTTTGTTTTTTGGTGGGATGATAAAAATGTTCTAAAATTGATTGTGGCCATTGCACATCTCTGTGAATATGCTAAATAAACATAGAATTTTATACTTTCATGGGTTTATGTATGTTTCATGATTTATACCTCAATAAATCCGTTATAAAAAAGCAAATGTTTTGGCTCAGCAATGGTGGCGCTCACTGCTAAGATGCAGCTTCTTACAAGGTGACGCAGCATAGGAGGACTCGGTTTGGTTCCTGGTCTAACCTAACAGGCTGGGTGTGGTAGCATGCATCTGTAGTCCTAGCTAGCTAAGAGGCTGTGGTAGGAGGGTCTCAACATGGTGAGACCCTGTCAAAAATCAATCTTTCACTCGTAAATAAATGAATAAATCTTGAAAAACAATGTCAAACACACATTAACAGTTTAATATATAAATTAGTAGATAAATTCTAATGAAATATTATTTTATCTTTCTCAGAAAATATCATAAAGATGCATCTTTACTAGTGTTGTTATTGAGATAAAAGCACATTTTGCGGGGCCAGTAGTTGATGGAGTGGTTACTGCACTGGACTCCCACATGGCCAACAGTGGTTTGAATCTCAAATCGGTGGCTTGAAAATCACAGTGGGTGCATGTGTGTGGGTGTACAAAGGGCCAGGAGAAAAGCTGAAGAAAAGGGAGTGCGGCATGGCCCCTGGGGGAAAGATTTATTACTTTCCCCCTCATTGTCTCTCTGTCTCTCTTCGGTGAGCACATGTGCCCTGTGGCAAAATCTTAAAAAAAAGAAGAGCATATTTTTTAGCAGAATTTTCTAAAAAAATCTTTACAGTTACTACATTAGTCAGAACAATACTGAGGAGATAGTTTCAAAAAGGCCATAGAAAATAGATATTATAAAAACACCATACATAGACCTCAAACTATTTGTACCATAAAAGCCTGTCCTTTAAATTTTTCCATGAACTCTTTGAAGTCTTCTCATACGCTAATTCCCAATATTTTCCTTTGACTTCTTTATTTTGAATATTTCCCCTCTTGCTTTATAATCTTGTACAGTTTCTTCTTCTTTTTTTTTCTTTTTTTTGGAGAGGTTTTTGCTATAGGGCGCGTGCACTCGCCAGACAGACAGAGAGGGACATAGAGATAGAAAGCGAGAAATCACCCCCCACGGGGGATGGTCATGCCGCAATCCCTTCTCCTCCATTCTCCTCTCGGGATCTTGGGCACGCACGCATACGCGCTCGGCGTGAGTTTTAAGCCACCAGGTCCGGGACGCGAACCGCGGTCAGCTACGTGGGAGCCCAGCGAAATAGCCATTATGCTAACTGCTGGTTCCCTAATCTTGTACAGTTTATAAAAGCAACTTTTTATTTTATTTTTTTCTATAACAAAATATTTGAATTATTGTTATAGAATTTAGCAACCAGTTTTTGATAAATCTGGCAATTTTTAAAAAAAATATATAAAGTATAAGGATATGTAGATTTTCATTATTCAACCATTCTTTAATGAAGTCAGAATTTATATCACTAAGACAATAAAAATAAAATGCCAGTCAAGTTCTAATTACTTTTTTTTTTTTTGAGAGATTTTCACTGTAGGGCGCATGCGCTCGCCAGACAGACAGAGAGAGACATAGAGACAGAAAGCGAGAAATCACCCCCCAGGGGGGGATGATCACGCCGCAATCCCTTCTCCTCCATTCTCCTCTCGGGATCTTGGGCACGCACGCACACACGCCCGGCGTGAGTTTTA